GCCGGGCCCCCGCCATGCCTGCAGCCGGCGGAGGGAGTGGGCTGGGTCCGCATTGGGGGTTGGATGCTTGTGTTTGCTTTTCCTTGTCCTTTGTTTGTTTGTCTTAACTTCCCCTCCTCCCCCGACCTTTCTTCCATTGGTTACTAGAAAGAGCCTGGAGAGGAAGGGAGGGAGAGAGAGAACATCAGTGATGAGAGAGAACCACCTTCCCTGGCAGGAGCACTCAGTGGACAAAGCCCGCTTCTCGGCACCGACCCTCCTGCCACGTGGAAGTGGCCACGCCTGTCTGACGTGCTGTGCCGCCTGGCTGCCTCCGCACAGCCTCCGTCCTCACTGCTCCGGCTCCTCCCGCCCCATCTGCTCAGGGTCCGTCCTCACTGCTGCCGGTTCCGCCCGCCCCGTCCGTCCGTTAGCGCTGACCAGTGAGCGGGCAGGGCTGTGACGGGCTGAGGCCGCCGCTGACTCATCCCCGTGCTGGAAGCTCCACTCGAAGGGGAGCGTTTATTTTAAACTGTGCTCAGAGCTGTGACTTCGGCAGACTCGGAGCAGGATTTTATCTTAAAATTAGGCTAAAGCCCACCCCCGGCCCTTCGCCTGGTAGCCGCCACCTGTTCGGTGCCGCATCCAAGGAGGCTGCTTTCCCAGTCCCTCCCTGCGCGTTAGTGTGCTGGTCACCGAGCTCTAAATAACCCACGGCCACGGCTCACCGGCCGGCAGCGTGGGGGAAGCTGCACTGGAGGAGACGGCCCGTCTGCGATGGCAGCTCTGTGTGCGCCGGGCAGGCTGGTGGCCTGCCCTTTGACCTCTCACTCACCTTCCCATGGGCGGGCTCTGAGGGCCTGCGAGCTGGGACGGTCTGGGAGGGGCTGCTCCTGCTGCCTGCTCCCTAAGGCGCGGGCGGCCTCACGTTCCGGTTAAATGTCTCCGGGGGAGCGGCAGCTCCTCACGGTTCTGAACTCACAGGTGGGAGGGCGACCGCTGCTCCTGCTGTGGCCGGCCCCAGGCAGCCCCGTGTCTCGTGCAGGAAGCACATCGATGAAATGACCCCCCACGGGCCTGCGTCGGGCTGCGGGCGTCCGGGCTGCGGGCGTTGGGGCTGCGGGCACCCTGGCAGGTGCAGGCGGAGCAGGGCCAGCTGAGCGGGCGCAGAGGGCGCTGGGCTGCGGGGCCGACGGGACGCACGGGGGTTTGCTGGTGGCTATGCGGCCTGAGACCGAGCTAGGACTGGCCGCTGACGCGGCCCGCAGCTTTCCTCCATGCGGCCCTTCGTGCTGCTCAGTGATCCGGTGGGAGGCAGCGCCCGGAGAGAGGCGGGAGACCCCTCCCGGGCCCGTCGCCTGGGGCCGGGGACAAAGGGCCGGGTGGCTCTCGGCAGAGGTTGTGGGAACCGTGGTCCTCCGTCCCAGAGGGACAGACGGCAGGGAATTGATGAGTCGTTCTGAGCTCGTGGCTTGATTATTTATCTATTTATTTACTTAACTACGTTTTTATTGATTTCAGAGAGGGAGGGAAAGAGAGAAACATCAACGATGAGAGGAAATCATTAATCAGCTGCCTCCTGCATGCCCCCTACTGGGGATCCAGCCCGAAACCTGGGCACGTGCCCTTGACTGGAATGGACCTGAGACCCTCCAGTCCACAGGCCGATGCACTACCCACTGAGCCACACCGGCCAGGGCATGGCTTGATTTTTTTTAAATAAAAGTTAACGCTGGTTGCTGGCTGTGGGGGTGTTTGCAGCGAAGCACCCGTCCGGGCAAAGGGCGGTGAGCACTGTGAGGGGGGCACCTGTCTCCAAGCGCGGGGTCCTGGCCCACATCTGACCCCGCCTGCCGGCTGGCAGCCGCTTCCTCCGGGAACCTGGTCTTCGCCTATAAAAGGAAGCTCTTCCTCCTGGGCGTCGTGGCCGGGTATTTTTAGCTGCGGCGGCAGTCCGTGCTCGGGGCAGGCTGACATTCCTCCGGCGAGGACCCAGGCCTGGAGTCAGGGTCTGAGCCGTGAGCGCGCCTGGCCGAGCCGGGCAGCGGGCCTGTGCGGGCGGCACCGGCGTCTTCTCGCCGCTGGTCCTGCCCCTGCAGTCCTGCTGCGGGGTCATCGCAGGTTCCCTTCCCCGCCCCTCACGGGGACAACTCAGTGACCCTGGGGCAACGTCCAGACCAGGACACTGCGTGGGACTGTCCGTGACACCCTGCAGACCTGCCTCCCTGCCCCCCGCTGCACCCCGCCCCTCCGCTGTCACATCAGCCGCCCCAGCCCTGTGACTGTCGTCCTGAGTGTTAGCACGTGGACCAATGTTCCTCTGAGTTTGACTCTTTCATTTTTAAAAAAATATATATTTTATTGTGTGTGTGGTTTTTTTACAGAGAGGAAGGGAGAGAGATAGAGAGTGAGAAACGTCGATGAGAGAGAACCATCGATCAGCCGCCTCCTGCACACCCTGCACTGGGGATGGGCCCGCAACCAAGGTACATGCCCTTGACCAGAATCAAACCCCAGACCTTTCAGTCCGCAGGCCGACGCTCTATCCACTGAGCCACACCGGCGTCAGCTGAGTTTGGCTCTTTCAGACGCCGCTTCCCGCCGCCTCCGCCGCGAGCGAGCGAGGTTGTCCGCGGGCGGCGGGGCTCCACCCGGGCTCTGCCTCCGCTGGGACCTGTGTCTGCTCCTCTTCGGGCTGTTCACAGAGGGCTGCTGGGACCACACGTCCGGTTCTGGTGGACACGGCTGTCCCTTCTCGGACACGGGCCGGGGCAGTGCTGAGCCGCGTCAGGGCCCCGTGCCGCCCATTCCCGCTCCGGCGCACGCGGACCGTCCTCCATGCCCCGCACCGGGCCGTCCCGACAGGGCGGCAGCCTCGGGGCATCCTGGGGATGGGCGACGCGGGTGCGTCTCGCTGCGAGTGCGTGTCCGCAGCTGATCGACCCAAGTGCTCTTTGCCGTGGAGCTCCGAGTCCTTCCGTGTTCCCGCGTGTGGTTTGGCGTGATGCCCCTTCGCGGGTCTGCGGCCTCTCGGCTCCGGGGAAACGCGGTGAGTCCTCTGCGGCCCGCCGCTCCCAGCCCGGATGGACTGCTCTCACCTTGGCCGCCCACCCGCCTGGATGGCTGTGTTGTCAGTTGGGGGGGGGGGCGGTCTTGGGCCGTCCTGGGCCTTCCCCGCCTTCCTTCCTGCAGGGTTGCCTTGCTGCCAGGCCAGGACGTGGCAGCGAGTCCTTCCGGAGCGTTCTCACCCTCACTCGTGTCCTGGGCCGCGGAGGGACAGGCCGCAGGCGGCCACGTAGCCGCCGCCTCACGTGCCGGCTGTCCTGCCCGTCGGGTGCGCGGCGCTGCACAGCGGCCAGGGGTCCGGAGCCCGCGTGCCTGGGTGCCCGCGCTGCTCTCGTGTCTGGGACCGTTCCTGTGGCACGGCGTTTTCGCTGTGCCCAGGACACGCGGTGCCATGTTGGAAGCCTTTGGTCTGATTTCAGTCTTGTCTCATTAGCGCTCCCTGACACGGCCTGGTGGGCGGGGAGGGGACACCAGTGCTTCCCGGTGGCCGCCAGGTGCTGACCAGGCCGGCCGCGGACCCCGTGCGGCCCGTGCCCGTCCTCCGTGGGGAAGGCCTTGGGGGCACGCTGCGCTCTCGGGGGCTGGTCTGTGCCACAGCCCGGCCTCCCTGTCCGAGCCGTCCCTCCCCGTGTGTGCCTGCTTCCTGAGGGCGACGGGCAGGTCACAGACGGTCTCACTGCGCTTCCCGCGTGAAATGGCGGCGTGTTTCTCCTCAGAGGCCGTGAGTGTCTCTGGGATGGTTTGTGTCTGTTGGGTTTTTTTGTTGTTGTTTGTTTGCTTTTTGCCTTGTTGCCATCTCCATTGCGAAGAGCATTCCCGATCAGAGAGCCCCGTGCTGAGTGCCTGTGCTCGGAGCGGCCCCCTGGTTAGACGCCATGCGGAGGGGCAGGGACGGTCTCAGGGCCCGGCGAGATCCCCAGGCGAGAGCTTCCTCGGACCGTGCGCCAGCTCCGCCTCACCGACAACGGCCCCGGCTGCCTGTGCCGCCACAGCCGAAGCGGCCCCTGTGGGTGGCTTGTTGGTTCCTCTGGAGCAGCCGAAGGAGAGACAGGCAGAGGCCATGGGCCTGTCCTCAGGTGTTTGTCATTACGCTGCCTTCCTGTCTCACGCTGCGGGACAGGGGTGTGCGTGTGCGTGTGCACATGTGTGTGGAGGAGTGGAGGACGTCGGTGTGGCTTTAGCCGCGGCTGAAAGGAGAAGCAGGCAGGATGGGTCAGAGCCCTGGTGGCTCCAGGCAGACCCGTGGGTGGTGCCGACCGTGACAGACACCCACCCTGACCTCGGGTGCAGGGTCAGCAGCGGGCGCGTCAGGGCCTTTGTCCGGTTTCGGTTTGGAGCTAGAAACGCAGGGCCTGGGGTCGGCGGCGCCCCGGGCCCCCGCCGGCCCGGCGCCCCTTTGGGACCCGGCGGCTGTGCGCTCGGTCCCGGGAGAAGCGGCACCGCCAGGCGAGCCCGGGTCCCGGCTTCCGCGCGCAGAGCGGTGCCCGCCCGGCGTCACAGCGGGAGCGGGTCTCCGGGCGGCTCTCGCGGTTCCGTGGACAGGCTGCCTCCCGGAGCGAGGGGACGGTGAGGAAGCAGGGAGCGCGGGCGCGGCGGCAGCTGCCCCTGCCGCGGCCGGAGGTGGCGCTCGTGTGCGTGCGTCCCCGGGCCGCCGGTCACGGGAGCCGCTGGCCGGTCGCCGTGGGGCGGCCGCTTCGCCGGGTTCCCTTCACCACGCCGTGCCCGGCAGCTCGTGGGCAGCGCGTCGGTTGGACGTGAGGACCGCGGGGCCTCCGGGGACGGGTCACCGGTGCCGTCAGAGGAGCCGTGATGTCAGCATAGGAGGCGCCCGCGGAGCACAGGACCGCCACAAGGCTGTGCCGGCGGGGGCGGGCGCACAGGGCTCCCCTCCTGAGTGGGCTCGCCCCCCCCCCCCCCCCCCGGCTGCTCCCAGCTGACGCCCTCCCCTCCCGCAGGTGCACCCTCCGCTTCCCCAGCACGGCCATCAAGATCCAGTTCACGGCGCTCCACCACCAGGAGGCGGCGCCCGCCTCGCCGCTGCGGCCCCTCCACCCCCACATCTCCCCGCTGAGGATCCACATCCCGGAGCCCGACCTCCGGGGCCTGGTCAGCCCCATCCCCTCCCCGACCGGCACCATCAGGTGAGCTCTCCGGAGCCGCTCCTCCCGCGGGCCTGGCACGGGCTGGGCGGCCGGGCGGCCTGCGTGTTCGCGGCGAGCTGGCGGGGCCCTGGGCGGCGTGGCCCCCGGCACAGCCTCTGAGATTCTCTCAAAGCGAAGTCCGCCCAGCGCGTCACGCTGCCGTCTGAAGCGCCAGTGCCGGCGGGAGGCGCAGGCTTTCTGGAGACAGAGCATCTGCACAGCCTCTCCCGACCCAGCCTCTCCCCCACCCCCAGCCTCTCCCCATCCCAGCCTCTCCCCGACCCAGCCTCTCCCCAACCCCCAGCCTCTCCCCAACCCCCAGCCTCTCCCCATCCCAGCCTCTCCCCACCCCAGCCTCTCCCCAACCCCCAGCCTCTCCCCAACCCCAGCCTCTCCCCACCCCAGCCTCTCCCCGACCCCCAGCCTCTCCCCAACCCCAGCCTCTCCCCGACCCAGCCTCTCCCCAACCCCCAGCCTCTCCCCAACCCCTCTCCCGACCCCATCCTCTCCCGACCCCCAGCCTCACCCGTTCCCAGCTTCATCCAGCCCCAGCCTCTCCTGGACGGCATGATTGAGGACTAGAGGCCCGGTGCCTGGAATCTGTATAGCAGGGCCCCTAGGCCTGGCCGGCGGTCAGGGCTGACCAGGGCCTTCCTTCCCTGGCTGCAGCCTTTGTTCTGGTGGTCAGTGCACGTCAGAGCGAGCGATTGGTCTGCTGGTTGCACTCCCGTGGGGACATGCTGGGCTTTTAGAGAGAGAGGAGTTTATAGTCCGCAGACGTCTGGGTTTGTACCTGGAGGGCTTCGTAGTAAACGCACTCACTCCCAGCCCTGCTCCCGGTACCGGCGTCTGGGGAGAGACCGGAGCCCGGGGAGCTGCTGTTGGGAGGAGGCCAGGCCTGGGGCGGGGGCGGGCAGGGGAAGGCCCTTTCGCTGGGCTGTTCCTGGGACCGCTGCTCTGAGCAGCGTTTATATGTAACTGGGTTCAGGGTCCTAGTCGTCAGGGGCTGTGTCCATCCCTCTTATCTGCGCCACACACAGGCCCGGCCTCCTGTTTCACTGGTGAAACGTGAGCAGGGAGCGGAACTGGGACTGGGACCGTTTGTGTTGTGTGACACCGTCTGTCTGTGTGGCTCTGGAAGGCAGCCGAGGTCTGAGACCTCAGAGGCTCTGCGGGCGGCGCCGTGTTTACAAACAGCCTGGGCCCGCCCTCCCGGCTCCTCCCCTCTCCCTGCTGGGACCGGCCTCCCCGGGGAAGTGGCCCAGGGAGCTGGCGGCCCAGCCCCTCGCCGTCTCCTAATTTGGCGAGGCCGCCGCCCGCCCGCCCCATTGGCTGCTGGCCCTGCCGTGTGGGGCCTCCTGTTCCGTTTGGGTTGGAACAGCCCCCCCTGCTCTGGGACTTGGGGCGTGGCGGTACCTGTGGGGACTCGGGTAAACAGCCGCCCGCCCTCTGCCTTCCGCCGGTTTCCAGGGTTTTGCTGAGGCCGCCAGGCTACAGGGAGTGGCCGCCAGGCTGGGGGGAGTGGCTGTGGTTGGTGTTTGTCACCGAGTCTCCGCCAGAAGGTGAAGCAGCGCCCCCTGAAGGAAGCTGCTGCGAAGTGGTCAGCCTCCACATGGAGCTGAGGGTTTGAGAAAAGGGAAGTGGCCTTGTTCATCGGCCCACCGACATGCGGTCGGGAGCTCCTGTGAGCGGGTCTGGGGGACACGGCCGCCACGCCCAGAACACGTCACCGGCCCCTCCGTGCGCTCGGAGCCCGGGGCGGCCGCGGAGGAGGGACACTGGCTGTCCCTGCGGCCGTAGGCGGAGGCCCGCCCTGACCTCGCTGATGCCGCCGTGCGGACAGCGGGCCCCGCGGCCACCCTGCCCGCCAGCCGCCTCCCCAAGCCAGTGTGTGCGGAGGACGTGACGGTGCTCCGTGCCCGGTCCGCCTTCACCCGGTGGGCGCGGGGCCACCTGATCCGCTGTGTCCCCGTGCTCCTGCACCGGGCCGCCAGGACCGTGACCAGAGCGTCCTCTCTCCGCAGTGTTCCCAACTCCTGCCCGGCCAGCCCCCGCGGGGCCGGCTCCTCCGGCTACCGGTTCGTCCAGAACGTGACCTCGGACCTGCAGCTGGCCGCGGAGTTCGCCGCCAAGGCCGCCTCTGAGCAGCAGGCCGACGCGTCTGGAGGGGACAGCCCCAAGGTGCCGCCGCCCGCCCGCTCCCCCCCCCGCCCCCCCGCCTGCCCGCCTCTGGTGGCCGGCCTCGGTGTCAGCCAGTCCTGACAGCAGGAAGGGCTAGGCTCGCCGCTTCCTCTCGGTCCCCCGCCCCCAGCCGGAGGTGAGGGGGGCGGCTCAGCAAATCGTGGGGAGCCCTCCCCGCCGCCGAGGGCGCTTCCTGGAGGAGCCGGTGGCGGAGACACAGGACCTGTCCCGCGGGCGCTGCTGCGGGGAGGGCGCGGGCGGGAGGGGGCGCCGCGCTCACACCCCCCTCCGCTCCCAGGACGAGTCGAAGCCGCCCTACTCGTACGCGCAGCTCATCGTCCAGGCCATCTCGTCGGCGCAGGACCGGCAGCTGACGCTGAGCGGCATCTACGCCCACATCACCAAGCATTACCCCTACTACCGCACGGCCGACAAGGGCTGGCAGGTGAGGGCGCCGCCAGGACGGCCGGCCCTCGGAGGGCCGGAGCTGAGGAGGGCTGCCCCCCTCTCCCCCCCCCGCACATTGTGGGCTCCGAGCTCACCCACGTGGCCGTCTCGGGCACTTCCTCCGCGCGGGCTCTGAGACCGGGGCTGCGTCGGGCGTAACCAGCGTGTCCCCTCACCGTGTCTCCTGGTTTCTTTCCTTTGCCAGCGACTCACGCAGGCTTTTCTTCGTTTGTCTGTTATAGATTCTCACCCGAGGACGTTTTTCCATGGGTTCTTTGAGAGAGTGCAAGTGGGGGAAGAGACAGAGAGAGAGAGAGAGAGAGAGAGAGAGAGAGAGCGCGCAGTTGGTTGCCTCCTGCACACACCTCGACCAGGGACTGAGCCTGCACCGGTGGCATGTGCCCTTGACTGGAATTGAGACTGGTGCTCTAACCACTGAGCACCCCGCCAGGCTCTGTGCTGGCTTAGCCTGGACACCTTTTCCTGCCTCACGCTTGCTCTAAAGAATGGGAGCGATGGGGCCCTGGGTTTTGACCGGAAAAACTCCCCACGCCTTTGCACTGCCCCATAAAACAGCCTGCCAGCCCGCAGGAGCTGCCCCCGGTGTGACCCCTGAGCCCGCCCCGTCACCTCGTCCCGTGTCCCTGCGTGCGGGGGGGGGCCTGTGGCTTCCCGATTGGCCAGCGCGGTGCCATCTCTGCCGCAGAACTCCATCCGCCACAACCTGTCCCTGAACCGCTACTTCATCAAAGTGCCGCGCTCGCAGGAGGAGCCGGGGAAGGGGTCCTTCTGGCGCATCGACCCGGCCTCCGAGGCCAAGCTGGTGGAGCAGGCCTTCCGGAAGCGCCGGCAGAGGGGCGTGTCCTGCTTCCGCACGCCCTTCGGGCCGCTGTCCTCCAGGTGAGCCGCCGCTTCCCGCCGCCCTCCCCGCCCCGAGGGGGCCTGGCTCCGGTGCACGCCGCCCGGGACTGCCCTCACGCCACTCCGGGAGGCTGCGCGAGGGAAGGGGCAGGCCCACGCGGTCCGCGTCCTGGCGCCTCCGCTGTGCTCAGTGGATCCCGCGTGGCCCTCCCTCCTCAGGAGCGCTCCGGCCTCGCCCACCCACCCCGGGCTGATGTCCCCCCGCTCCAGCGGCCTGCAGACCCCGGAGTGCCTGTCGCGGGAGGGCTCCCCCATCCCACACGACCCGGACTTCGGGTCGAAGCTCGCCTCTGTTCCCGAGTACCGCTACTCCCAGAGCGCGCCCGGTAAGAGGGGCCCATGGCGGGCACACCCAGACCCGGGCCGGGGGCGGGGCCCGTGGCGGGCACACCCAGACCCGGCCGGGGGCGGGGCCCGTGGCGGGCACACCCAGACCCGGGCCGGGGGCGGGGCCACTGACCCCGCGTCCTTCTCTGCAGGCTCTCCCGTCAGCGCCCAGCCCGTGATCATGGCTGTGCCCCCCCGACCTCCTAGTCTCGTGGCCAAGCCCGTGGCCTACATGCCTGCGTCCATCGTGGCGGCACAGCAGCCCCCAGGCCACGCCATCCACGTGGTGCAGCAGGCGCCCCCTGTCACCATGCTCCGGGTGGTCACCTCCTCCGCCAGCTCCGCCAACGGCTACATCCTCACCACCAACCAGGCCTCGGCAGGGGGCGCCCATGAAGCAGCAGGCACCGCGGTGCTGGACCTGGGCAGCGAGGCAAGAGGTGAGAGCATGGGGTCCTTCTGGGGCTCCGGGCGTAGAGCTGTCAGCCTCGGCCTCGGGGCACAGCGCACAGGGGTCGGGGGCACAGAGCCCAGGGGTCAGGGGCACAGGGCACAGGGGTCGGGCACAGGCCCAGGGTTCGGGCACAGGCAGTCTCTGAGCCAATCACTGTCAGCCTCCTGCCCCCACTCCCTGCTACCTGTGTTTTGGGGAGCCCACCCTGTGTAGTCAGCAGGGTCACGCTCAGAGCACGCCCTCCCGTGAGGAGCAGCTGGGGGCTCGCTGCCCAGGTCTCCCTGTTTGGGGGCCGGGACCAAGGACGAGGAGTCCTTAGCGGCCGTCTAAAGTGAGCACGCGCTACACGGGCCCGCCTCTAATGGTGACCCCGCAGTGGGCCCGGGGGCTGCATGGAGGCCAGCCATTCCCAGGAGCAGTCCTGCTCCTCCGTCACCCTGGCTGTGTGACCGTTACACGTGTGTTTAACGGTGCGGTTACACGTGTTTAACGGTCTTGTTACACACGTGCTAAACGGTCCCATTCCTCGGCCACCTGGCTGTGTGACCGTTACACGTGTGTTTAACGGTCCTATCACACACGTGCTGAACGGTCCCATTCTGCGGTCACCTGGCTGTGTGACTGTTACACGTGTGTTTAACGGTGCTGTTACACACGTGTTGATCGGTCCCATTCCTTGGTCTCCTGGCTGTAAGTATAACTGTTACACGCGTGTTTAACGGTGCTAGTACACATGTGTTGATCAGTCCCATTCCTCAGTCACCTGGCTGTAAGTGTGACTGTTACACGTGTGTTTAACGGTGCTGTTACGTGTGTTGATCGGTCCCATTCCTCGGTCACCTGGCTGTAAGTGTGACCGTTACACGTGTGTTGAACGTCCTGCTCCTCGGTCACCTGGCTGTGCCTCCTCGGTGCCGTGTTCTTTGAGAAGCGATGGTTTCCCAGCATCGGCACGGAACCCGCAGCTCAGGGCGGCGCCTGGTGAGGGTCGCTGACACACGCTCTCCCCTAGGCCTGGAGGAGAAGCCCACCATCGCCTTCGCCACCATCCCCGCCGCCACCCGCGTCATCCAGACGGTGGCCAGCCAGATGGCCCCCGGCGTCCCCGGGCACACGGTCACCATCCTGCAGCCGGCCACGCCCGTGAGCATCGGGCAGCACCCCCTCCCGGTCCGGGCCGTCACGCAGAACGGAAGACACGGGGTCCCCACCAACAGTGTGGCCAGCAGCGCTTACGGTGAGTGCCGCACAGTCAGTGCCCGGTGGACCGTTTGCCAGGCCGTTCGGCAGCCGGTCAGTCATCCACCGGCTGTGCAGTGGGACCCTGAGCCGTCCGGGCAGGGCATGGGACGGCACACGTCCTGGGACCCCACATGGCCTGGGACTGCCATGTCCTAGGACCAGGGCTGAGGCTGAGGGCACATCCTGGGCCCGAGGCTGAGGCTGAGGGCTTTGGCACTCAGCCAGGTGCTCAGGAGGGCAGCGGAGGGGGCAGGGCAGGTGCTGGAGCAGACAGGGACAGTGCACCCCTCAGGGGGAGAGGGAACCGGGTTAAGGTGGGTGGCTCACAGGAAAGCGGGTCCAGGTGAGGTGGGAGCAGGTGGGTGGCTGGCCCCGGGGCTGCTGGGAGCGGGTCCCTCGTAACCTCGCTCCCTCCCCGCAGCCCTCACAAGCCCCCTGCAGCTCCTGGCGGCCCAGGCCAGCTCGTCCACTCCCGTGGTGGTCGCCCGGGTGTGCGAGGTGGGGCCCGAGGAGCCAGCAGCTGCCACCACCACACCCGCCACCGCCACGCCAGCTACAGCCACGCCCGCCGCCACCACCACGCCGGCCACTGCCGTCCCCTCTGCGGCAGCCTCCGGGGAGCCGGAGGCGAAGAGGTCGCGGCTGGAGGAGCCCAGTGGGACTGTGAGCGCGCAGGCCGGGGTCATCGCTGCCGCCGGCCCGCAGGGGCCCGGGACCGGGGAGTGACGCCCAGGAGGTGGAGTGGACGCACGCCAGAGGGAACGGGCTGGACACGACGCCCACATCGCCGCCTGGGACCGAGCACGCCACACGGACAGGCCGCCCACCCGCCTGCTCCTGCCACGCGTCCTCCCCACCGGCACCTGCCCCTGCCATCGTCGAAACCAAACATAAACGCGTTCAGACAGTGTATGGTTCTGGGATTCTTTGTTTTCCTCCGAGCACGGCTTGTCCACAGGCCCGTCGGGGCATGGGGAGGCCGCGCACGAGGAAAGACCCCAGGCCCGGCCATATCAGCGCAGGCCCGACAGCCTTCGAGGGAGGACGGCACTCCGCTCTGCGCCCGCGTCGGAACCGGCGAGAAGGGCGAGCGTCCGACTCCCAGCCGTTCTGACGTCTGCCACCGGAGCCGTGTCCCAGGAGCTCCGTTGGCATTAACCGGGGGTCGGGGTGGCTGTGGACTGGGGAGGCTTCCCCCACATCCGAGGCCAGAGGGATCGTCTGGTTCCGAGTTTCCACCTGCAGACGCCGTGGCCACCCTGGGAGTGACCCCTCGCCTCTGCCCCTTCAGGGGGGCGTCCGTGGCGAGAGCCACGTGGACGACACCAGCGCGGCCTGCAGCGGCAGCACGGCGTGCTCAGGAGGCTCCTGCGGACCAGCCGGGAGCAGCCGCCACGAGACCCATTTCGACAGCCAGTCGTTGGGGTGCTCCCACCCCCGGCGCCAAGGACAGGGCGGGGCCTGGGCCCTCCCACGCACGAACCTCGCGTGGAAAACGCTCGTGGGAGGGGACGCCAGAGAAGCGGGCGATGAGAGCTGGTGTCGCCCCCGGCAACCCCCCTCCTGGAACCCCCCCGCCCGCAGCGCCGGCCGCTCCGTCCGTCCGCTCCCTCGGTGCCGATCTGCCGTGGTGGTGGGCGCGGGCGACGGGCTGGCGGAGGCCTGGCTGCGGGTCTGAGCGGGTCCCTGCGGCTGCTTCCCTCCTTCGGGACGGCGACAGGACCCACAGGCATGCCGCGGCCACCGGCACGGCCACCTTCGCCTGATGGGTCTGCTCCAACCCTTTCTCATGGCTTTTGAGATGTCTGGATTCTCCGTCCATTCCCAGTGAGGATCCTGCTCGGCAGCCAGAGGTGGAGGGGGGGGGGGACAAGGTCCGCCGGTGCCCTGTGCCCTGTGAGGGCGAGGAAGGACCGTGCGGCCAGCGCAGCGCGGGGAGCGGAGGCTGAGGCTGAGGCTGGAGGGGCTGCCCCTCGGGCATGGACCTGCGTCCGGTCGCCTAACCACAGAGAGTGCCCGGCTCAGGCGGCAGGTGTCTGAGGCCCGTCAGCCAGGGGCCCGGGCATGGCTGCCCGGTGCCCTCAGAGCTGGCCGAGCGCGCCGAGTCGGGTGGGAAAGCGAGAAGTCTGCTGGCTGACCGCCGTGCCCCTGCAGCCTCGGGACGGGGACCCTTCGCTGTGGCCACCAGGGGCCAGGCACCGGCTCCGGGCACTCGGGCCCCTGCTGCTGCTGCTGAGAGCCCCGCGCGGGGAGGGGTCGCGGGAGTAGCCAGACCGAGGGGCGCGTCCCTGAGGCGGAAAGCGAGGAGTGTGGAGTGACCGTGTCCCCACGGAGCTCTCCCGGGGACGCTGCGTGAGGGCCGTCTGCAGGGCCTGGGGGCTCGGCCAGGCCCCTCACCCCCTCCGACCGCAGGCGCAGGCCTCACGGCCCTACAAGGAGTGTCCCTGCCGGGCTGCTCGGCGCACACTTGCGGGTGGCTGGCTCTGGGTGTGTCCTTTTCCTGTTTAAGAGCCGAGCCCGGGGAAAGTGGGCTCCTGAGACCTCAGAGGAGGGTCTGCTGGTCCTTCTGTGCCCCGGCCCCAGAGGGTGTGAGGCCCTGGTGTCCCTCAGCCACGCTGCTGCTGCCTCTGCGCAGGTCTCCCCCTCCAGGGGGCGCTGCCCTCGCCGGTCCCTCAGGCCGAGGGGGAAGGCTCTGGCTCTGGGCCGGAGCTCGCACGTGACAGACGGAGCGCAGCCTCACAGGACGGGGCGTCCGGGTAGGAGGACATGGGCGGAGGGGGGCCCGGAGCCGCCGTGCAGGCGGCCTCAGCTCTGCTTGCCCTTGAGGCTGTCACCGTCTCGGGGCTCACACCCTCATTGGCCCAGAGCACAGCCCCGCCAGACGGGCTTCGGGGCGCGGTGCACGCTGCTGTGTCCCCACGCTGGACCGCACTACTCGTTCTCAATAAGTGACCAAACGACCGAGGCTCTGCCGGAGAGCCGGGGCCGCCGCAGCCCGGCCCTGTGGGCCGGACACACCTGACCCTCCGTGGCCCCGCCGGGCCACACGTGTCCTCGGCCGGGGCGCACCCCGAGGACAGTCCCGCACACGTGCTGCTGGGCGGGCGGGCGGCCCGCGGGGCGGGAGGGAGGACGCAGCCCACGGCCACGCTGCCTCTGCTGTCTCTCCCAGCCGGTTCCTGTGTTTTGCAAATCTCCCGTCGTCCTCCAGGCCTGGCTCCCACGTCAGGGCCTCGGTCTCGGCCGACCCCGCTCGGCCCGGACTTGGGAGCCTTCCCCGCCTGCCTCTCTCGCACCAAAGCTGCTACCCGGGCTGAGGGAGGTCTGGGCGGCCCTGCGGGCGGCGGCAACGCGTCCCTCCGCCCTGGTCCAGGCCGCCGGCTGTGTGGACGCCGGGCGCGAGCCGGCTCCACCGTCCCTCCACACGCTGCTCCCTCTGACCCGGCACCCCACTCGTTAGCTGCTTCAGAGAACACGGGGTCACCCCCAGCACTCCTCGGAACTGAAATGAGAAACAGCCCCTTGGACTCCGAGTGAAAAGGAAAGAGGTGGCCTGCTGAGCTGTTCACCCGCGGGCTTCCCGCCTGGCCTCGGCCCCTCCCCCCGCGGGGCCACACGCAGCTCCCGCTGCTGGGGGCCGCCACCCGCAGCTGAGGCCACGTCGGCCAGCTGAGCGGTTCGGGCAGTGAGGTCCGGGGCCGGAGGTTATCAGCAGGCCCAGCTCTGGGTGACACCTCCCTGCAAGGCGGCGGCAGCTGTGGGGAGCTAGCCTGGCCGGGGTGCCCGCCTCTGCCCGCAGGGCCCGGCCCGGAGCTGAGTGGACGCACGGAGGCCCGGCTCACGCTCTGCCGGCCAGGCCCGCAGGTCTGCACTCCACGCGGACGGGAGTGAAGTCTCCGCGAGCCGGGGCGCCCAGTGGCTGCTTTGGCTGCTCGTTCCAGGAGAGGGTGAGGGGCCGTGGCTCTGTGCCAGGCACCTCGCTCCCCAGGGCACCCCTCCCAGGACCCGCTCCCTGCGCCTCTGCTCCCTGTGGCAGCGGAGAAACGGGGAGCTGCAAGCTCAGTTCTTCACGTGGGTTCATGGGCGATGCCGGCACAGCCCCGGCCGCTCGTCCCCGCGCCAGCGCCTGCAGGGCAGCGGGAAGCTGGTCGCCGGCCGCAGAGAGGAGGATGCTCGGCCTCTGCAGCTCGCTGGTTCGATCCATCCAGACACTCACTGGCGTTTACTCTGCATCAGAAACAGGGAGGTCGGAGGCAGCGCCGGGAGCCGTGTCCACGCTGTAACCTAAACCTGGCTGAGCTGGGTCCCCAGGAGCGTGCCTGGCCCGTGCCCCGCTGAGGTCCGTGGCAAACGGATCCTCCCTCGTGGCCTAAAGGCTGTGAGACAGCCCGTGGCCTCGTAAGCCCCGCCTCTGAGGCCGGGTCACCTGGCCCGGGTCTTTTTTAACGGTAAAATGAGTTTTAAGTCAGACAAGTTAAGCTTGGCTCTCCCTTCTCCTGGTCCCGGTTGCTGGGCTCACGTTCTAACAGGACGGGTGGGGTGGGGGGCGGCGATGGGGACAGGGTCCCAGAGTCTCACTCGGATCCGCCGAGTGCTGACCCCGCAGCTGGGCACGGGAGGGAGCGTTGAGCCTCTACTGAGGTTTTTTAATCTGACGGATGATTCTGTAACGGTGATGTGGGGCTGGGCGGGGCGGGCGCTGTTGGGCTGGGTGTCTGTGTGTGAGCGTGTTTCTACAGTGGCTGTCTGAAGTATTTTTACAACATGTCTAACAATCAGTGCTTTAAAAGCAGTGGTTTCCTACGAGGTGGAAATTAAGGCCTAAGCCTGGGTGAGGCAGTCACGTGGCAATGCCCCGCCTGTGGGTGAAGTCGGGCCTGGGGAGCCCGGGGCGGCTCGCAGGTGCCCGGGCGCCCGCCGCGGGGGCGGCCAGGCTGGGAGGGACCCTGCGCTGCAGCCGGCCTGCCTCTCCATTTCTGATGGGATACAGTACTTTTTTAAAAAGGAGCCATACTTTTTTTTTAAAGTTTGAGAAATGAATGTGATTTCTAATTGTATCAGACATTAATGTTTTAAAGCTATAACAAAGTTTAAGATTTCTACATTTTGTTTTTCATTTATTGTAATGTTCTTTTATCTATTAAATTGTATGTGGATGGGGAAGTCCTATTTCTCCTCTTAGCATTTGTTTCTATAACCAGAAATAAAGTTATATATTAAAGAAGCCACCCTGGCCCCGGCCTGGTCCGTGAGTGGCCTGAGGGACATGGGGGGCAGGCGGCCACGGCTCCCGAGCGGAGGGCCCTCCAGACCTGCTGCCTCTGCCCCACCCTGCTCCGGGAGCACGCTGGGAAGGCCTCCGTCTGGGAGGTGCCCAGGCCCGGGAGTCCCCGGAGGGGCTGTCTCTGCAGCTTCAGGGACGAGGATGAGCGGGAGCCGCCCCACTCCCAGCCCACAGCGGCCCCCTGGGGCGCGCCCGCCTCTGCCTGTTGTCATCGGGGCTGAGCGGGGCGCGGGCTCTGCGGTCTGACCGGCTGGGTGCCGTCCGGCGGGCCGGGAGCTGCAGGTGGGCACCCGGCCTCGGTGCACCTCACCGTGGGGAGGGGCCCCCGCAGGCCGCCTGGGCCCCGGGGGGTGAGTCACAGACACTCGGGACTCGGACACCCCCCTCCACCACAGGCGTCACCGCGCCCCCAGCCTTGGCGCCCCGCAGTCCATCCTCCAAA